TTGTAATTCTTTGTTGGTATTTTAAGTATTTACTTACATTATATGGTAAAACATTTGAAAGTCACAACACATATTACACAATTTCTAAATCCAGTGAATACTCTAATTACTTCATTTTAGTTTATATCAATGATATATTTTACATTTCATAAATCTTATTGAATTTTATTAATTTTTGTAAACTGTTTAGCTTATAAAAGTTATTAATTAATAAACTTAATAAATAACTGAAACAAATAAGTGCTAGTTATTAACATCTTATGTCAAACTTAATGTGGTAAAAGTATTGTTAGTTCGTTATATTTTGCTGAATTTCTGAGGGGTTAATATAAAAATAGAAAGTTGGCTTCCCAAGCCATCTTCTAGATCCATCTATGTATGTAGCCCTCTTATCCCTTAGATAAGTTAAGATGAGTTCATTTATTTTAAATTTCAACGTTCAAAAAACTACTATCGTAAAATAAAAATAGAAAAGTTGGTTTATTGTCAAGTTGAAAATTAAAAATAAATATTCAGAAAACTACTATGTGTTAGAGTTTCTTTGTAATATTTATACTAATATTATTATTTATATTTTAGTAAAAAATGTTGTTCTGTAAATCATTATTTTATTATGCTTCTCAAATTTTAGGCGTATTGTATAGGCAATTTAGTCAAAAATTTTTCCACAACACTGTAAAGAAAAATAAATAAAAAAATAATTTTAATTGCACAAATATGAAATCTCAGAAATACGTTTTAGTTTAAGAATGTTATCGATTCGTTAAGATATAAACAATATACGCCTGCCAAATATCTTAATAGAGATTTGCACAATTTTACTGGATTCTTAATGACGTAATTTCTGATAAAGTATATATAAATAGTACACAATCATTACAACTTCTAATTGATGTTTACTGCTCATCATTTCTTTTTAATGTTCCTAATTGAATTTGTATTTTTTTGTGATTTTTGGTGCATCATACTTACTAATAAACAATGTGCGAATGTTTTTTTTTTGATTGCCTAGCTAGAAAAAAACATTACTGAAAAATTCTCATAATCTTTTGTATAAGAAAAGTTTTTAAATATTGAGTTTCCTGCATAAACACATATAAGGAAGTGCTTTGGCTATTTAGCACACCAAACAGATTTCAATATTCTTTTAAAATTTGTAATCTAATATTAGTCCTTATATAATTATATAAATAATTACTACAATAATTATATTTCATATTTCATAAAACATGTTTGTTTGAAATATTGTAATTGTGCAATATCATCAATGTAGTATGTGTATTTCACTTTAAACATAATAATAAGTTTTAGTTTCAACGATTAGAGTAAAAATAATAGTGGTAGGAAAAAATGTATGTATATAATTGTGTATATATAAACAGATAAAAAGAAAATTGGATATATTATTTGGAGTGGCGCGAGAAAAATTTTTTCGAGCTTAAATACACTTAAATAAAACACTATTTGCATCTTTGGTTTTCCAGAAAACTATTTGTCCACTTATTATGTCTTATCAAAGGTATTTATTAATCATAACTTACAAACTGAGTCCATTCATCGGATTATGATTAAATATTTTCTATATGTTACAACATGAACTTAAAACTTAAAGTAATTGTATTAAATATGCTTCTAAATATTTATTATTATGATGATCTATATTTGTAATTCACGTTATAAATAGTATACAAATTTTTATGTTCAATGTATGTGTCATAAAATATTGCTTCAATTTTTTCGAGGACCTAAGACTTTTTTTTTTTTTAATTCCTTGACCTTTAATATCTAGTTAAAAAAACGTGTACTTAGGTTAAATTATGACACGAACTTTTAAAAATAAAATTACAGAGTATGATTAATATTAAATAAAAGTAAATAATATAAAGATAAACACGTTCATAAAAAATTCGTCACTTTTTTATGTTATTAATTATATAAATTATTGTTTTTCTTTCTATTATTCAAATTTAAATGTAAACTTATTAATTAAAAACTAAGTTTTTTTTTTCAAATATTTACAAATGGTTTATGTACCAAAGTTTATGTGCTTTAGACAATGAGTTGTAACTAATACGTATTTGGGAAAATCCATTTGTTAAAGTTCGTGGACTAATGATTATGAGTGATAACACTCAATTATAATTATCATATGATTGCTTGAGAACATTTATTGTTATCTTATTAATTTTTAAATTTACATAAATTATTTACTTTCTAAGTCAAAAATTATTTCAGCCGTTGGAATCAAAAAATATTCTTTATGTTCAGTGACATTTGTAGCTAAAACGTCCAAAGTATAGTAATAATTGTTAATTATTATTATGTCTATGAATACAGAGTGATTGATTAACTATGGCTCACGCAATATCATTAAAAATGTAAAGCATAATTTAGCTTTTTATTAGAAGTTAATAGTACTTAACGTTCTATAATTTTTAGAAAATAATTTATTCCTATTTCTTTTTTTCCTTTCAAATTTTATCCAATTTAGTATTTTAAATGGAAATATGATATATTTCCATTTTAAAACATATATTATAGTTTAACGAATTACAAACAAGAAAATGATCTATCTAAGAAAATTACTGGTCAATAAAATATTTTGGATTAGATTTTTAAAAGGTATTAGCACTTTTACAATGAAGCGGTAGGAGTAGTGCAATTCATTAATAGCTATAAATAAAAATAAACAGATTAACTCTTCACATTCCATTATTATAAAAGAGTTAATTACTTCCTAAGTACTGGTTCAAAAGTTTTTATCGACCAGTTATTTTCTTAGATAGACAATTCTATTTAATGAACTAAAGTTAATACAATTTAAGGGAGAAAGAGGGGAATAGGATAAAATTTTTTTCTGGAGATTATAGAGCATAGTATAAAATTAGTTTCTAAATAAAAAAAATTATATTATGCATTATATTTTTCATGGTATTATTAGTGAAACAATCAACTGTATAACTATATCTAAATTAGTTTCTCCGCTTCTTGTGATTACGATTACAAACATAATTGGTTACATATCATATTCGTTGTCTACCATTTTTTATTATTTACTTACACAATTATTTAAAACTAAAATTACTTCGGATTATTTACTATAAAATTCAATCATTCAAATAATTTATCATTTAAGGAATAATTAAAAAAGTGTTGATTATGTAGATTTAAACTTTACACTAGTAAAATGTACAATAAGAAAATTACACACTTATTTAATTATTTATTTTATTTAATAATACGGTAATTTTTGTGTTCCTTCATCGTGTTTAACTTAATGAATTATATTTTAATTAGCTGTAAATTCATAAAACAGTAAATAAAATCATCCAGTTATATAATTTTTATTTATATCAAATTAAAGCAAAAGGTAAATATTTGTGAAATTTATCAGTTGCAGTTGAAGTGATTAAATATTCAAAATTTAAAAAGCAGATTATATAACAATATTATAAATTTTGACGATCATAAGGAGAAAATTATTTTGAATAAATTTTCAACAGAAAAATTATTATTAACACGTTTTATATTTCATTGAAATATTAAAATAATGATATTATATTTATCGTTAACATATATATTTGTTTAAAAAAATATAGCTAATTTTGTTAAAACCACACTATTTTGATGTATGTCATGGCTGAATAATCAAAATTTATCTCTATTATATTTATATAATAATAATTTAATTATATGTTTACTGCGATGTACTTAAATATATAATATCCTATTCACAACTTATAATGATACAATATTTATTACTTTACATCATATTTCAATACATGGCAAAGCGTAGAAGGATTAACACTAATCCGGACGTTATAACTCAAACCAATATACACAAAATTCATTAAAATGTAATAAACTCATAAATAAAGCACAGAGAATAGTAAAAGCGTGTTACGCAGTACTTTTTGTGTATTTAAATTTTCAATCAGATAACTCGTTTTTGAAAACGATTTTAATCGCGAAATAAGAAACAGTTCATACTATTCATATGCATAAGGTTATAGTTTAACTACCGTATTGTAGTATTATTTTGCTGTGAACATTGAACAGCGCTCTATAGGTACATACATACTTGGTTATCGTCGGGTAAACTGCAATACAATATATATTATTTCACTAAATAGATATTCAAATGTCGATAAATTCACCTGGAATATTGTTCATTGTTATTTGTTAAGATATATTATTATTTTATAAGTGCCATACAATGCTATTTTGACCTTTATGTATTCAATTTGTGGTTGAGTCAAGGAGCACTAAAGTGAAATTCGAAAATAGTAGTAGACTTCAGGCTGATGCATTTATGAAAATGTTAAAATAAAATCTATGAAAACATCCACAAATTAATAGCTACAAAATGTAATTATTTAACCATTAAATTATTTTTTTTTATTGAAATTTTATACTTAAAAATATCTTTTATGACCGTTGGTCCAATCAGAAAATAACTTCGGGAAGGGATGTGTTAATCTTTTTTTTTTTCTCTATCAAAAATGTTTAATTTCGATTCGCTCAAATTATGAAATCTTAAATGAGCTAAAAAGAGGTTATCGCGAATAAAAATTCAAACATGACAAATCATTTCGGGGAGTTGTAACCTCCCCGGGTTGCATCACTGTATGTAAAATTCCCGTTTGAATTAAACGTTTTTAATTTTACAGTTAAACGATAACTGAGGTCAAATAACTATTGGTAATTACATTGAACAGTGCTTTATATTATGTACATGAATGAATTAATTGCTTATAATTTGTGTTATATATTATCGTCATAAGATTTTAACACCTGAATTATTTTATTACAGTAAATCAGTGCAAAGTATGAGAAAATCGATGGCTACCGTTCGCTATTTTCGCCGCACAAATCGTTTAGGACGCACGTGCGCTGACGTTGCCGGTTAGCCACCAGGTGTCGCCACAGTCTTCTCCGCCACCGATGCCTTGTGCGTGTGTGTGTTGGCCGTACGCGTGTTTTCGGAGAACGAAACCGAGTAACCGGCCCAGTCGTCTCTATCTGGTTCAGTGTTTCACGTTGTCAGTGTGTTAGCAGTGCCGGTCTTCCTGAATGCCGGCGACAGTCTTACGATTTTTTTTTTGTTTTCGCGAATGAGCCGTTCATCAATTTTATATTAATTATTCATAGAATATTTCGTCCAACAAAAATTCCATTCGTTTTATTTCGCGCTTTGATTCCGCCGTTGTGATCAGTATCAAGCTGTTGTAACAGTTTTGTTGGCTGGTCGTTAAGATGAAGGACTTTCGGAACTGAGGGGAGCGAATGGTGTTGCGAATTGTAAGAGCGGCGGTCGAGAAAAATATCTCGTCGTAACGACAACGTGAACGCGCAAGCACCACGACTTCAACGACGTCGACTTTTACGAACAATATGATCATATCCAAGGACTTGTTTTTGTTGGGCGATCAAGATTACTTGCGCCTACCCAAAGACGAAAAGAGGTCCAGAAATGCCAACAAGATTCTCAGGTTAGTATCGATTTTCGCAACTCAAAAGCGTCAAATCGTGCCGTTTTATGTAATAAGTTAGTAAACAATGCGTGGACGACCACCACAAATCACATGTGACGGTCGTCAAGAACTTTGGTTTTTTTTGGGGGGATGACCTAGAAAATTTGGAGGGTCTTATCACGGACGTCCACTATGATACGTGTCCGCGTTGTAAAAAGATGACGAAATAACAAATTCGACCAAAATGACCACCGTGCGTGTACAAATATTCATTATGGCAATTAAAATTTAAACGAGTGTCGAAACCGCGGCCGATTGACGAGTGTAGGTAACAGTTGCATGTCACTATGTGATGGCGGTGAACGATCGGTTTAGTTTTTTCGTTATTTGCCGACGGCTGCCTCGGTAACGGTTTGCACAATGTCGCGTCCCTCCCCTGAGGCCCAGTCTGGGTTGCTCTTGGTCGTGGGGTAGTTCTAAGTGCAGAATCTCCGGTTCAATAACCTTCTCCTCTATCGCCGTATTCGTCTACTCCTCGTACCCCGTATTTCATAATAGTCTACATTCAAGGACAGTATTATTGTGCATATTTCTATTATTGTTATTGTTGTTCACGTTTATTTTGTTCAATTCCCCAACGATGTCCTTATCTACAGCGCAGAGTAATTGTGCTATTAGTGTGTATGCGGTCCAACAACGGTATAATATAAACTCCACTACAGTTGCAATACAACATGCCAGCCACGTGGTGCCTATTTTTAGAAATGGGAACTTCGCACTGAATTTCACGACAACTGTTGGGTAACATTACACCATATCCGCTGCCCGTTAGTCGAAACAAATAGAACAAGTGCTTGTAACTTTTTATAAACTTTTTTTTGTCGTTTTTATGTTGTCGTCCATCTATTAGCAGCCATAAATTCTCAATCGTCATAACACCAAGTTACAAAACAGCAATGCCGTTTCTCAGAGAAACGATCTCCTGCGTTCAGTGATGATTCTCGATACACTACATCTACAGCGCACATTATTTGTCATTTACGTGTCTTGGCTAATGTGGAAACATGTGAATATTGAACACTGATGATAGTGACAATATTTCACTCTAGTATTAAAAAAAAGCGCCAAGTGCTAACGTTCAGTGTTTTATCGCGACGATTGTGTTTGAAGTATTACTACTATGCGATTTTTCTTTACGAGATTAGGCCGAACCGACACGCAAAGAATTTTCAGAATAGTGCTCAAGGTGTCGTCGTTCAAGTCCTTGGGTTCCGTATAACGTGACTCTGCATTACAACCTACTGATCGAGTCGTACCCGCAACTCCAACCTTCAAATAATATAGAGCACCGTCGTAACGCCACCGCATACGCTGTGCAAAAAAAAAAAAGTAATAAAAAGTACAATACGGCGTGACTGTAATATTGGGTTATTATTGTTTTTCTCGACGATGGTTGTTTATGTATAAAAAAAATTCGATCGCACGCGGCGGCATTGGCCAAGAGAACGGCAAAAGTTTCAAAACTATTTGTTTATTTTTATAGGCCACAGGCGTCTCTTAAAAATGTTTTATGCAAATCGACCACTTCCGAGACGACTTTTCCCTTTCGTTTGCCGCGGAAAAACATAATACAAAAGGCGTTAATCAATTCCACGGTTGTTTTTTTTTTTTTAAACGTCGTTTATTTCACTTTTATATTAACGTATTCCTATATTTTTGTTATCTTTCGTCGCCGGCCTTTCCCCTCCACGTCGTTGGGTCTGAACGTACACATCTCATGTAACTCTTCCGAACAATAGCTAACCGTGTCTGGGACGGCGAATTTTAGGTGTGTCGCCCACACGTGCAGTTATTATACGGAGCTCGGCATCGACGACGACTACGGCAAATTGCGGCACAATGTTGATATTTGTTTTTCCACTCACGTCCTGCGTACTCGATGTCGATACCGCACCGGTGGAATCCGCTGGTCGTAGGAAAGTGAAAACATCTCGATTTGTGTTTTTTTATTAGTGATGGTGGCGGTTTTTCTACGCGTCCAATATGGCAAATTATGACTGTGGCCGCGAGCCGAACCAGTTTTGCGGGTTCCTCGAAATTTCAAAATTTATTCTCCCTTGCCCCTGTCGTCGATCGCAATGTGACCTTATGTGAGGTCATACTAGAGTGTAGTTAACGCGAACTATGAGTATTGTCGACTTGATCTTTAGCACGCGAATTTAACGAATAAAAAAAAAAATACCAGTAATAATAATCATAAAGGTTAATTTGCGAGAACATGGCACTGCAGTATCTACTTTTCTGCTAATGTGGGCATCAATTATTCATATTGTAACGATACATAAACATACGTTGCGAAAAATAAAAAACACAAATCGTATAATATGCAATGGCATTGAGCTATTTGTGGACATTTAAATATTTTATAAGCGTGCACATATGATTGTAAATTAATTGTGAGTGCTCGAGTAAACAACGAGTAGGTTTTAACAACATATTGTAGTATGTAAGACTTATTGTCAGCATCTTTTTTGTTGTTTTTTTTTTTTTTTTGAAAGTTTATATTGATCTGTTTACGAGAATCAGAGTTAATATTTGTTTTGAACAACGTATTGTGTGATATAAGTCGGGATAACAATGAGATACGTTATTATTGATGTCTCTGTGGTATCGATCAACAGGTGAACAATCCGCGTTCCGTCGGAGAGCGTAGATTTTTCGTCGATGCCCAAAAGCGAACACCCTAAGAAGTTGTGAAAGCACACAAACAACAAGGTGATGCTTTAATTTTTTAGATTAGAACGGATTTACAATTTTGTTTGGTGTTCTTTCAATGTACTGTATAATTACACACACGGGCGATGTAATCTGGTCATATAAAAAACTAATTAATTACATTGGTGAGATGTTAGATATTCTTGACAGCTGATCGGAAACCGGTTACCGGCGGCAAATCTCGACTCTAAACGGTCTTTTAACTATACAATTATATTATACATCATTATTGTTGCATTATACATAAGAAACTTGCTGTACAGAGGAAGCACTGAGCGCCCGGCAAAATAGTTCCTGTTGAGATCGTAAAGCGTATTTCACAACCCGTTTGGCGCCAGTTTGTCCATCGACCGCGTTCTGCAATTTATTTTTCATCCCAGTCGGTTAAAATCGATTCGGTTGTCTCATGTTTTGCTGTGTTTGATTGTTCGGTTGCTTATACGCCTTTTATTTATTCATCCATTGCAAATCTTAAGCCTATGATTCATATCGAAAAACAGATGTATTCGGCCGCAGCACTCGTTCTCGCTGTTATGTTTTTGACCAACAAGTGACTGCGTATTGTGGGCACATGATTAGGGTTTTTTTATTGCTTTTCCGTACGCGCCGTGTCGTGCGTTTATTTTAAACGGATGTATATACATAGACACTTGAACGTGTGCTTGGTTATCGACCGTGTGTGTAAATATGCTGTTTGGGTTGTCCAAAAAAAAAAAAAATTAATTTTGAATATTCACGAACAGCGTCTAGAGTTATTCTTTTGTCTCTACGGCAATGAAATTTTTTTCCTTGCCTTTTTATATTCATTACGCGGTCGCTCGTCCGGCGGTGTGTTTTAATACACTGCTACCTCCGCTCGCGTTCTTCTCTCGTTACCTTAACGATTGCATGTGCGAGTGAGTATTAAAAACCGCACACTTTTTTTTAATTTACATACAACTACTTTTCCAACACAAATTACCGGCAACAGCCGCGAACGCTATGGATAATGTTATTAATTAATTGTTATGAATATTGTAACGCTGTGCTATAGATAAGGCGCTTAATATAGTAAAATGTTACCATACGCTCTCGTAGGAACGCGTTTATTGGAATCTTATCGATTCGCGTTTATATTGCGTTTTTCGCTTCACAAGTGGTAAACGTGTTTGATGAACTCGAATAAATTATTAACACGATAGCTATTCACTGAATATGTGTATTTTAATAGAGGAATTATGGCGCGTCGCTATTTTTATTATTCTAATATTATTTTAAATTAAATCTTGATGTGTTTACAAATTAATGGCGAAGTATGAAAATCGCTAAAATTAATTGGTATGCGCTTTAAATAAAAAAGAGTTGTTAAAAAAATAAATCGTTAATAAAGCGCGGTATTCTGTTACAAAATGAATCTATCAAGACTGGACACGACGATGTTGAATCGGATTTATTTTAATTTTGACATTGCACTTGTCTAATAGAGCTATTGGTGTTAAAAAAATATCATGGCGCGCGGTCGTTTCACAACGCACTTATTTACTCGGTAAAACTTTGCATAGTAAGTTTCAGTGGCAAAAGACAATAGATTGTATTTTTAAGAAATAACTTATTTTCTAAAAAATATCTTGTTAATTCGTTCGCGATCGTATTCAGACGGCAGTATACATTTGAACTACGAACTCGAGATCGGATATGAAATTCACTTTTTAACTGGTTTCCGCTCTGGTGAATTTTACAATGATCGACTTTGACAATCCTGAGGAGCGCAATATTGACGGGGGGGGGGCTTGCAAATTCGTCGCTCCTATCGTTTATCCTGCGTGTTTCGGAATCGTCAGAACTATTGAACAAAATTAAAAACCCGACTACGTGCTTGACCCAATACTATAACTGTTTCTTAACATACATTCGTACTCGGGTTTTGTTTTTATTTTTGTCCGCTACCTTCCTGTTTGTTCCGTTATAGCCTCGATCAGATGTTACGTTATTAATAAATAGTTAAATAAAACACGAATTTTCTTATGATTTGCCGTTGTAAAAAGAATATAGTATAATGATAGATGATGAATCCCATAGGCCTTTTTTTATATGAAGTTGTACAGACAACGATCGCATAATAATTTTTAATGTGTTGAAGTTTGTATGTTTGCAGCAGACTAAACTTAAACCTTAACAATCTCATCTGTGTTTTACACGTATAGTTTATAACTTGGCTTAAACTAAAGAATTCTTTGGTAAGTCGTCTAACCCGATTGTCGAAC